CACCCACATCGTTTTATAGCGGAAACTGCCAGCGCCACCATTCGCGAATCTACGAATAATGCCGAACGAATTCTGTGAATAACGTTTAGCGTTATCCACACAGCTCTGTGAATAATCACTCCGTTTTTTTATTTTGATCAAGAAGCCGGAAATGGCTGCTATCACTGTGATTCGTTAATGTTAAATCCTTAAACAGCTAAATAAATAATGATAAGACTTTTAATATGAATAATTTTAAGAAAAGATTATTACCAAAGTTTAATTATGTAGTAACCAAGGGTTGGTTTTAAGTTTTATTTATTACGTTAAAAATTGTGTACGGTACCGGTAGACAGTTTATCGTTCTTCATAATGTCATAATTATTGAATCAATATTTAAATTTAATATATTAATAGTGTTACAGTTACAATAGTAATGTCAATAATAATAATCGTTTTTCTCTTAATAATTATTTCAGAGAATATTACTAAAATTAGGCCGATAGATCAGTCATAATTATAAACAACTGTCATTATAATCATATAGGCCTAATAGTATTAATATTAATTTAATTAATAATAGTCAATAGTCAATAGTCTATTTAGGCCTAAGCTTAATTTTTCATAATCATTGATCATAATTCTAATTACTAGTACTACGACAATCAACAACCACACTTACTAATAATAATATATTTTTAGTTAAGCCTATATTGAATTATTAATCGTATTCATAAAGTGTGTAAGTAACTGAATAAGGTCTCTAAATTATGTCACTATAACTATAAGATTAAACGACTTGGTATTATTCTAAGAAAATGAGTGGTTAAAATTCTATTGGAAATTCCCATCAAGGCAAACTAATTCCAAAAATAAGCTTTTTTGGTGATTTACGTCATTTTTTGTTTTCCCATATGTCACGAAGTAATGACAAGATTTGAAAACAGGGCTTGGTCATCGTTGTTGTTTGAATTTAATTTAAGTTGAAAAAGATTAGTGAATTAAAGCACTTTAACTTAAATAAACCAAAGTAATTACATACCGGTAATATACATAAGTGATAAGTAAAGCCTTAAAGTACTGCTTAGCTTTTAGTTTTAGCCTTAAACTTAAAATTAAAATGTTAAATGACACTACGACTTTGACTTACTTACTTATCATGACTTAATTAAGAGTAAGACTAAAAGTAATGATCTACTCAAGTCTACTGTGATTTTAGTGAGTAGTTTTTTAAGTATAAGTAAGCTTTATTGATAATCATTTATGACTTTAGGATACTATCACTATACTATCATTGATAGAAGCTTACTTATAATCCTTATCTTATAATAATAAAGTTTATCTTACTCTTACACTTACTTAGTTCTTAGTCAGTTAATCTTTAGACTTTAGGCTACTACTACTAACTTAGGGCTACAATCTTAGTCTTACTCTTACTCTTACCAACTTACTAAGTTACTTACTTAGCCCGCCATGCATTTTTGTCAATTCAATAAACAAAAATAGACAATATTTTTATTACATGACATAATTGACTTTGAATTGATTAAGTTTGAAATAGTTTGAATAACTTTATTTAACTTTGAATTTGATAATAATTTAAATTTAATTTCAATAACACAACAGTATAGACATGTCATGTGAAATATCAGTGACTGATGTCACCTGATGTGAAATATCAGTGACCGAGTCACTGAGTGAGTCAGTAGTATCCTAGTCAGTGTCAGTCAAGTAGTAGTAGTTACTGAAGGTCAAATACAAAAGTGTATAGTGTATATATTAGGTTTATTATAATTATAAGGATGAGATTGAGAAATAGTAGGCAAACTTTAACTGTGTAGTATAAAAATCATTGAAGTAGGTGTACAGCCTACGGTAAATGATTTATAATTTATATAACAGATTTATTCCGGATTTATTATGAAATAAGATTTATTTTACATTTGTTAAACATTATGATAACATAATTGTAAGTGAAAATGTGGGTTAAGAACTTAAGTTTAAGATTAAGTCACTAGAGACTTGACACTTCTACTTGGACTTATGATTTTTTTGTAAAATTACAAATAGTTAACTGTGTTAGTATGAACAGGAATACTGTATAAGTTATAAGTAAATAACTTTTGAGAGCTTCTGGTGATGGACACAGAAGTTTAGATTTTACCAGTGACACTGTAATAGTATGCAACCATGAACATATCTGGTACGCTGTGTGTGGGAAGTGATAGTACCAGAGATACAGTTCAGCTAGCTAAACTAGCCAGAGGAGACCAAGGTGAGTAATATCATGAGGACCAAGGCAATTGCAAGCAAAAACTTCACCTGGGCAAGACCTAACTTTAGATGACCTCTTTGCAAAAAAAAAAAAAAAGAAAGATATATCTGAAGATGGGACCCAGCGCTTGTACCCTCTCATACAGCCCTGCTGATGATATACAATTCAATGATTCTATTCTAGATAAATATAACCAATGGTAATTTTTTTGTCTATTAATTTATGTTACAAAAGGCTTAGACCAAGGGCTCCAAATCTAATTATCGCCGCACCCCTCTTGATTTCAAAACATATTTCCTGCACCCCCAGGATATAAAATATTTATAAAAATGTAAATAAACCTGATTTTTCTGGGTCATCCTGCACCCCTGTTTAAGAACCCCTAGCTGAGTCGGTTTTCTAATTATTTATTGCAATTATAGATTAAGACAAAAATCTTTTTACTGGAGTAAATTAAAGTCTTGCATCTGCTTTTGTCAATCAATTGTGTTTTATAATTAATGGGGAGAAAATGGGTATCACCTTTCTAAATGCCAGAAAATTTCACGCACATTCCACTTCTAATTATGCTAATTATTTATTGGCTAAGTATTTTAACATCTTCAGGCTATCATGAGACTGAGGTCAACTTTGGACCAGAGGCTGATCTCCATAAACAATTCATAATCTGTGACAAAAATCCTGGACATAAAAACTTCATCCCTATATATGAATTCAGTCTTGGCCACCTGCCTGAGGACTACAGGTAAAATAAACTTTACATTTCTTATTAATTTTATTATCTCAAAGGGCTATATTATTTCATGTTTCATGTTTTAACATCATTCTTAAGGGGCAACAAATGTCTTGTGTTCAAATTGTTTTATTTTTTAGCTGAAAATGTACAATGCAATCAAAAAACATCTCCATTTATTTGGATCAATAAAATAAACTTATTTTATCTTATCTTCTGAGTTTTTAGTAAGGCTTGGCTGCCTTGCCTTCTGACTTTTTATAGTCACTCATAAAGCATAATATGGTTAAGGCCCTTTTTTAATGTCATATTTTGACAAGATGTAAAAAAACTTTTTTTTTATTCCATGATAAAGTATACGGATACAGTCAGGAATTTAAACTTGCGTTCATGCCTTAATATCTTTTTATAAAGACATTTATTTCTTGAATTTTTTTTTTGTTATATAAATACAGTTAGAATATGTTTTATTCTTTTAGAATTATAAAATATTTTTTTGCGTTTATCAGAGATGAGGATGTGGTCAACTATATCAAAGCTCAGGCAGAACTTACCGTCAGAGTGTCCTCAAAATATACCAGCCAGAACAGACCTGAAGGCTATGCCTTCCATAATTACAAGGGGAAAAAATTCCAACGGCTTGGAACAGGTTTCATACAATATGTTTACAGAAATGAGGCAAGATCCCGCAAGCCATGTCCTTGCCCAGAATGCAAAACTTCTACTCATCCTCATTTAGAATGGGCAAAAGTAAAAGTTAGAACCGCAACTCATGTTGTTTTTGATGATGAGGAGGCCAGAAATACTGTTGCAGAACTTTTCTACGATGTGAACAAAGTCAAGGACGATGTGAAAGTTATTTACGGAGATAATGTCAGATTTGGGGCACTTCAGGGGGACTGGTGTGACATGAGGTGTGTGACCCACGACATGGAGCTTGTGGACCAACTCAAGGACACCTGGGGGAGATGGAGGTGGCTGGAGACAAAGATTAATCAGAAATACGCCAATCATCCTGACCCAAGATTAGCTGTTGTGGTGAGATTAGCTATTGTTGTAAGATTAACTGTTGTTGTAAGATTAACTGTTGTGGTAAGATTAGCTATTTTGGTGAGATTTACATTTTTACAAAGAAATTTTTATGTAATCTAACATAATTAAAAAAAAAAAAAACAGAAAAACATTTATTATCAGGTTCACATATCATGGCAGCTTAAGATAAATTATTACTACAGAATTGTTTAAAATATTGACTGTAGCTCTAATGATAGGACATTATGTTTTTGTGAGCAAGGGGGCCAGCATCATAGGTATGGGGGTTGGGAATAGTCAATAAACATGTGTGAATGGTCAATTAAAATGACCTTCAGAGTTTTCCCCCCAATGTTTAACAATGAAAAATGGAATCTTAGATCATTAATGTGTAACAACATTTTTATGTTGTTCCAGGTATCTCATCCCCATGGTTGTAGCAAGCAGGTCAGTATTGGGAGCTGGCGGGACCGTGATGTTGTGGACAGGTCAAGGGAGTTTGAGAACTGCGTCTACACTTATGACACACCAACATGCCCAGGAAGCAGTGGGGCCCCTGTCTGGATCCTGGGAAAGATGAAATGGGGAGGATTCTATGGGCGGCACCCTCACAGCGGTCGGCCTGTATCTGGGTTGAATGTCAGTGCTGTCGGTTGGGATAGAAGAATAGTGAAATAAAGATTACGAATTGTTTAGCAGTACTGGTATTAATTTTTATCTGATTTATAGAAATAGTGGCCTAGATTATAAGGTAGAATTTTTTAAAGAAAATGAAGACCAGGGAATTTTAGAACTGATGAAAAGGATAAAATATATGATTTTGTTGTTTAGTGTAAAGGCCTTGGATATGGGATGATCATGAACTTGTTTTTTTTATTTGATTTTGGATTACAGTAAGAATCCTGGTAAATGATATTAAATGTTGTAAATAAATGGGATTAGTTTTTTTATGTGATCTTACTTGCCTTGTTGTATTACTAAATTTGTAGTATGCTGTGGAGTTAGTTAAAAAAAATAATGAAAAAAATAATCTTAAACATTATTTAACAACTATCATTATTGAAAGAATAGATTGCACCTAGTAAAGCCAAAGTTAACTTCCAATTATGAAATCCAGCATTTATCTAGTATTTGATCTTGACTCTTTTGCAAATTACTATATTATTCAAGTATTATTTTGACTCTTTTCATTAAAATTTGCTTTCATTCATAAAAATACTATATCTTTCTACTTTAGAGAAATAATCTATAAATAAAATTTAACACTTCATAATATATGAATATATTTTATTTCAAGTCTGTAATACATAACATTTAGAACAAATCTCTGTTTGATTTATTTTAATTTTTTTTTTTAATTAAAATTTATCATAGGAGTTTTCTCAGATCAATTTTATCATATTTTATATTTTCCCTGATCTATACGTGCCCTGTCTTGCCCCAAACTAGATATGTCTCAGATTTATATTTAGGCTTATTTTGGCCTTGATGTACTTACTTACTTATTTTACATGTAATATTAAAATCCACAATACCTTTAACAAAAATTTTTTTTATACATGTTATGATCATAATTTGTTGAACTTTGTTGTCATTTTGCTGCATTTTATGGCTGGCTATTTCCCCTATGATTTTGGTGCATATTTAAATAAAGCAATTTAAAAAAAAAAAATTCATGTACTTAAAAATGTAATTAGTTATTACAACTCTTCCTCCTCCTGCTCACCTCTATGTGTTCCAAGTCAATGGCCTAATAAATAGTAATAATGTCAACATCTGCACTGATTTGAATTGTTTTATAATGGATTTGAATTGTTTTATAATGGCATATTATTAGAATTGTTTTATAATGGCATATTATTATTTCTAGTGCACAAATACCTGTTGCCCTGGGATTTATTATAATATATGGCTATTGCTAGGCTTACCATAATTTTAGGGTTGAAGTACGGACTTATTGGAGTAGGTATCACCAGTCGGTGATGAAATCTTGTCTTATTGGTTTAATTGTAACTATAATAATAAATACGTATTAGAGTGTTTGAGTATGATAAAGCTTAGACAGAATAGAGGGAAAAAATTTGTAAAATTTGTGTAAGTATAATGTTATAGCTTAAATTAAACTAAAAAATATTATGTTTTAGGGCAGTGGTTCTTAATCTTCCTAATGCTGCGACCCTTTAATACAGTTCCTCAAGGTGTGGCGACTCCTAAACACAAAATTATTTTTGCCTCTTCTTCATAACTGTAGAGTCTATGTGTTTTCCGATGGTCTTATGCGACCCCTGTGAAAGGCTAATTCGATCTCCAAAGGGGCCGTGACCCACAGGTTGACAGCCACTGCTTTAGGAACATCCATTAATTGTGTCAATAAAATAGGGCGAGATAGGTTGAAAACAGTTTGACAATTGTTGACTGGGGCAGGGCGAGTCAAAAGAACTTGACAAATATTATTAATATTATAAATCATTAATAGGCCTCAATAATTTGTTTCCAAATCGATCGAGGAGAAAGCAATTATTGCACAAAGAGAAAAAAACTGATATTTTACTCTAAGTGCTGAATAATTGGATCGTGTCAGCAGGTTCCATACTAACATCAATACATGGGCGCCCGCAGGTAGGGGCAAGGTGGGGCACTTGCCCCCCCCCCGCCTGGATTGATTGGATAAAACATTTTTAGACAAAAAAATTTATTAAAGTAAAGAGAAAATAAAGAGAAAGTAACTAACCTGATGTCCTGTCCGTTCGTTCACCATACAAATACGCTATAGTAAANCCCCCCCCCCCCCACCCTAGAAAGTTTTCTGCGGGTGCCCATGTATCAATATATGGAAATAAATTCATAATTTGCTTTGCGTTAATTTGTCTTATCAACTTGAAGATGAAAAAACGAGCAATAAATTTACTAACAATAATAATTTAGAGCATATCAATTCTTTTAATAAGTTATGCCAAATAAAAATGACTGTAGTCAGAGATTCTAGTTTTTTAAAATGCAAGATTTTTTTAAAAAGGCTTGTGATATTTCCCGTCGTTCTCAAAAGCATTTTAAAATATCCATATTTATTTCCTAATTGTTATTTTCTTGTTGTTTTTAAACAATTGTTGACATAATTAATTGGAAAAAAGAGGGGGGGGGGGAGATCCTTGAACGTTTGATAGCTGTTAACAAAGGGGAGAGAGGGGTAAAAATTGCCTGAAAATTGTTGACATTATTAATGGACAGCAACTTAATTAAAATGTAATCAAATCATATTAAGTTTAACTACTCTCTTTTACTTACTTAAAATGTTATGTATTTGTCACAATATCATTGTTATCATTATAGTCAATAATTGGGCTTGGGAGTATAATATTAGGCATTAGTCAATTGTCTATCTAAGATTCATTTGAATGCCTTAAAATCATGACTTAAATTAAATAAGATTTACTTAGATTTATTAAAATTTATTTTGTTTAGTTGTGCAGGTAATTATAAATAGTTAAACGCATAATTAATTGTTTTCAAATTTGTTTACCAAATGTTATATTTAATTAATGCTTCATTAATTAAGTTTTGAAAGGAATTGACCCAATTTTATATGTATGACGTTGGTATCTCGGTTCTTTTCACAACCCGCAGGTAAAAATCATGTGATCTCGGTAAAAGGAGTGACCATCGCTAAAAATTAATATTTGAACAAAAAAGAAAAACAATATGACGATCTGTGCAGGATAAAATTTAATTTCAATACTTCTGAAGAAACAATCAAATCAATTTGAATCAAGACTGACGTTTTAGAATGTAAGCTGCATCGATTTTTTTTAGTTTTTAGAATATCTCTTTGTTATTTTCTTGTAACTTGGTCGTTTGAGACATTTGAAATTTAAATTTTGTATTTAAAATTGAACACAGTACACTTCATTCAGTACAGTCCAAACAGAAACTGAGAACAAGTGTTCAGCTAAATACGGTTCCATTCAGTACTAATTTGAATTTTTCATCACCTCGACAATAACTTCGACATTCATTAATCAATTTGTCTTATTTGTTTGTAAATTGTAAATGCTCGCAAATCACGATTAATAAATTAAATATATTTTTATTATAATATAATATATATATTTTATATTTAACCCTCTTAGGACAGAGCCTTTTCGGGGTGTATGTGCCAAAAAAACGGATCACTTTTTACGAGCTCGGCACTCGCATTGCAAAAAAATTTATAAAAAATAAATTATTTCCTTAATATCTGTAAAACTATATATATTCTTGTAGGAAATTGAATGAACTAATCCAATCTTTATGAATCAAACTGAAATATCAACATTTATGCAAATGAGGTAACCTGATTTGCATAATTTATGCGTGTAATTTTTTGTTAAACCTATAATAAACATTTCTTACTTGTATCAATTGTGTGAATTTTTTTTATGGATGAAGCCTGAATAAATCCTAACAAGGCCCATGGGGGCCCTTCAGATATATCTGGCACATAATTCTACTCCTTTTCCACCCCCACCCTATTTTTCAGTTGTTACAGACACACTGTAACAGGCCCCCATTTATGACCTAGGGACCTTCTCTTAAGCTGGATGCTACTGAGAAAGTTGTCTGCATATCTATTATTCTCTCTCATAAATATTTAAATGATATTTAGTGTAAAAATATCATAAAGTACTCAAATGGTGTGCTTATGCCTTATTTATAGAACCTATGTTGTCTAAAAATTCAGAGGGGTCATCCCTGACCAGTTGAGGACCCCTAATACTAGTAATACTAAACCAAGAGTTCACAACATAAGCATTACCCTCAATTTAATTAAAAGTCTTCTTTAATTTCCTGGTTGTTTTCATCAGTTTCAGTGTCAGATTCACTGCTAGAACATCAAAATCACTAAGCACAGTTTGATCAGAGTCACTGTCAGACATGTTCGAATTTCACGATGTAACTACACACACACACGCAAAAATTCCTGCACACAAATAAATTGAGTTCACCTTCAACAAACACCTCCATTACAATGCCGGGATGTGCAGGAATATGAAAGAATAATTTTGATTCGCTGGTACAACGCCAAGGCAGCCAATCGTGACGCTCGATTTATCGGGCCGACGGTTTGGACTTACGTCTTTCTCGCTAGTCAACCTTGGGCCGATAGATTGGCCCTTACGTCCCAAGAGGGTTAATATATATATATATATATATATATATATTAAAATTTATTACAATTGAAATAAAATATTATAATTATTTGAAATTGTAGTATAGTTAGTAGTTAGGTCTGTAGCCGAGGTTATTTAAAAACCTTTTTTTAACCACTGCATCCCATCTTAATTTAAAAATTTTTGCGTGAAATCATTTAAGGATGGCCCTTACACAATATTAATAATGAATACGAACAATTTGTATAGTTCAAAAATATTAGTTAGCAGAAAAATAACAAAATACGTACAAATGTGAAAATTTGATTCCTTGTATTGAGTTCTTACAACATTGATAATTTGAAACTGAATACCAATTTTGCAACCTGGTGACTGATGTCATTCGTGAAACTAAAGACAAAGGGATTAAGTTCTTTGAAGTTCATAGGCAGCATGAACAATGGATTGTATTTGTCAAAGTCAAATCTGAAATCAGTATTGATTGGCTACCCAGAATAACACAACATTTGTTAATTTTAATTTTGCATTCCTGCTCTTAAAAAAATAAGGATATTTTTTGTAACTGATAAAATCTTGGTGAACTACTTAATAATGAGGGATGCAGAGTTTGTGAAGGTGATAATATTCACACTAACAATGTTAAGAATATATGGATATGAGCCCATATCCCATAGGTATCCTGACCCCTGTGGGATCCCGTTTCGAAATGGGAGCCCATTTGGGATCCGATCCCTTTTTTAAAAGGTGACCCCATTAGGATCCCGACCTAACTGGGATCCCAACTCCATTGGGAACCCTTTTCCAAATTGAATACCATATCACAATGGGATCCCGACCCCTGTTTGATCCCAACCTAATTCCAATCATTGGGGGTTCCTGATTTCGGTTGATCCCGATCCCAGTTTTCCTTGTATTGAGTTCTTAGGACATTTATAATTTGAAACTGAATACCAATTTTGCAACCAGATGACTGATGTCATTCATGAAACTAAAGACAAAGGGATAAAGTTCTTTGAAGTTCATGAAATATATGATATGAGAACTAAGAATAATAAGAAAAACATTTCAGTGACTTTTTTCCTTGCAAAATTTGTGACTTTTTTTCCACTCACCGTTATTTCTTGAGTTTACTTAGGCATTTTGAAAAGAGTCTGGGGTTTTTGTTAGAACAAACGCCTATTAAATGTATTAAGGTTGCTGGCCACATATTTTCATTAATTAAAAAAAAAATTCTTTATTTAACGCCCAAAAGTCATACCGTTACCAACCACGGTCTTTAAATTTGTATATACAAATTCGGTAAACTTTGGTGTACTTTATTCCTTGTTATAAGGGGGCTGTACTCCTTTATTGGAGGCTGAACGAGTAACACCATTTTATTTAAAGGATACTCTCCCTTGATTTAAAAAAAGATGAGGGGGGAAAATAGATTCAACGCCTAATTGTAAAGAATGTAAAATATTAGTGCAGTGGCGTAGCAAGGGATTTGGGGAGATTTGAGGGCCCGGGGGGGGGGGGGTGGCCTCTTTAGGGGTACCTGCATTTTGACATTTGACCTTTTTAAATGTAAAAAACAATTTTCGGACACGCCTTTGGGGGCCCCCCTCAAGTAGGTGCCGGGGGGGGGGGACTTTTGAATTTGGACCCACTCCCCCTCCCCTAGCTACACCACTGTTGCTTGTGCTAGATATTTATAAATGATAATTATATTAATATAACTAATGTACTGGAAAGAAATTTAAGTCAAA